ATGACGGATATGAATATGTAAATACATTTCGTAATGAAAGCCATTTCATATATTTCTCCTCATGACACTTTCAGTGCTCAGTTAAAGCCGTCAGCTGTGCAAAATATTACACACATACGTAACACCAGCACATACACACACGAACATATGCTTATATGTACATATACACACATACACACACACACACATACACACACATGCATATATATATATATATATATATATATATATTTATATATATATGCATACACACACATATATATATATATATATATATATATAGATATATATATATATATATATATATATATATATATGTATATATATATATATATATATATATATATATATATATATATATATATATATATATATATACATACTGTGGTGTGTGTATGGTGTTGTGTGTGTGGAGTGTGCGTGTGTGTATATTTGTGTTGTATAGCTTGTACAGATAAATCTATGAATTTATAAATTTCAACATACTATATGGTATTCAAGCCCGTAATTCGTGTCACTTGCCAGATCCGGATGAAATGGGCCAGACATGCCCTGCTCGTTACAGAAATTATCACAAAAACACGCATTTTTAAAAAACTTGGTTTTGGTAAACAAGGCATTGCTGTAAATTTCTGCGTTTCGAAAAATAGCACTGTGAATGTCCAAACTTTAAAAAAATCGTCACGTGACTTTAGGTCACGAGGCCAAGGATTTTAAATTCCAGTAAACACAAATTTGCAAATGGCCAAAAGATGCATTAGACTACTGTGAGCCCAGTGGCTTATAGCTCTGCATAACTGAGGTAGATCTGCTTAAATGATGTACTGTTAGCCAGTCATACTGGGTAACTCCCTACAAATGCCCGACGCCATAACTGCTCAGCCGCTGCTCTGGCCTTCTGAAAACGGACAGCTGAATTCGGGCTTAAGACAATCCCATGTGATATCTTCAGCTAAATTGAAAAATTATGGGGGTGTTTTGTTTTGGCCCCTTCACCTATCGATTTGTTGTGGAATGGCCGACAATCTTTTCCACTTGAAAAGTATACCAACAGCACGAGTGAGCTCATTGCATCATGTCTGAGGCCTACTTCAATATCTTCACATGCGCAACATTTCCTTTAAGCCGTCTGCGGTGTCTTCGTGGCCCTCCCACTCAACACAGCCGGGTCGTCTCCATGGTTACCGGGCTGGTACAACTCACCAGGCCCCCACCAGGAGCAGCAGCAGCAGGAAGAGCATGTTGGCGGTCGGACGACGGCAGAGAGATGGCCGGGCCGGCCGGCTGCCCGTCATCCATCGCACCTTCCGTCGTCTATCTGACCCAGTTCGGAGGGAGGGGGGCATCTGGCGATGTTCCCAGCGTACTGGTGCCTGGTGTGACCCGGAGCCAGGTGGCGGAGAGTCGTGCGGCTCCTGGCACCTGTCCGGGCCGCCTTACGTAAGGCCGCCCACAGCTGCGGCGTGCGGAGGGACGGAGCTCCCTGTCATCAGCATGCGGAGGGACTGAGCTCTGTGTCATCAGCGTGCTGAGGGACAGAGCTCCGTGCCGTCAGCGTGCAGAGGGACAGCTCCGTGCCATCACCGTGCGGATGAACGGAGCTCTGTGTCATCAGCGTGCTGAGGGACGGGGCTCCGTGCCATCAGCGTGAGGATGAACGGAGCTCCGTGCTGTCGACGTGCGGAGGGACGGAGCTCCGTGTCATCAGCGCGCGGAGGGACTGAGCTCCGTGCAGTCAACGTGCGGAGGGACAGAGCTCCGCGCCATCAGCGTGCGGAGGGACAGAGCTCCGTACCGTCAGCGTGCGGAGGGACAGAGCTCCGTGTCGTCAGCGTGCGGAGGGACAGAGCTCCGTGTCGTCAGCGTCTCGCGCAGCTGCCGCAGGCTCGGCGCGTGGTGCTGGCGCCAGCAAACACCTGCATTGCAGATTTCGAGGCATTCCACTGAACCGGTGCAGACGTGTGGCATCCAGCGGAGAGCTTTGCTGATGTTGGTAAACTGTAGTGACAGTGGTACGGGCACTTGAACAACACAGCAGCCTCCGCCGCACGCTAAGCAGAGCATCGACTCTTTTGGCTGCGGCCGGTGGTGAGAAACCGCCCACAGCCGGCGGTGAGGCCCGCTCGAATGCAAGTCCGCGTGCTACGGCGCGCGCGTTACAGACCTCTCAAAATGAGACGAAATCATCCACTTTTCGAGATGAGGTGTACTTTAACCCTTCTGTTTGGTGTGCTAAGTATAATGCATTAATTTTCACAATCAATTTCCAATTCAAAAGTTTCCAAACGATTCAAAGATTCAAAAGATTCAAAAGAGAGATTTAAAAGATTCAAGTTTCCAACAAACTTTGGAAGTCGGTTAAATCCACCGCCGATGAAGCTGACCTTCCCCATGCTGCAGCTTCGTGTTTGAAGTAGGACGTTGATATCACATGATCCTACCTCGTTTGTCGGCCAGCGAAGCACCGTAGGTCCAAACGCAGGCCGCATCGTTAACACCTGTTTAGCGCTTTTATCGGCGCCGGACCAGCCGTCAAACGGAGAGCGGGAAGTTGCTGGGCCCCCTCGAGTCCCCGGGTGGAACAGTACAACTTCTGGGCGTTTGGCGTCACTCCATATTGCTGTTGGCTCGAACAGGATGAATGCATTGCATGGGCTTGGCACATTTAAATGCAAGGAACTAAGTAAGTGTTGGCTCACTTACAGTGCCCGCCACAGTTTCTCAGCACGGCAGCCTGCAGCTGAGCCAGTTTGGGTCGGCTGGGGAAGGCAGCCTTGGTCGACAGCCACTCAGCAGGCCTCCTCCACCGCGGCCGAACGCCAGGCAACACACCATGATCTCTGGCGGCCGTTGCTGGCGTCAGGTCAGGTCGAGTGTTCGCGAGCGCCAACAGCGCGCACCATGCCGCGGGCTCTTCCCTTCAGCGTTGAGTGAAACACCCACGCTTCACGCATCATATTTATTTCACGCGGCCACTAGCGGTCGCGCCAAGACCAACACGAATCGCGCGTTAAAACAAAGCTGGCCCGCGGAGCTGCCAGGAGCGCCGCTAGCGCCGCCTCGCGGTGGTTTCTCGCTGCCGCCGCGGCGTCACCGTAACGAGCCCAACCGCGACGGCCACACGACCCGACTCCGTGGCGCGGCCGCGGGAGGCGGGCCACCCGTGACGTTACGTCACGATCGCCGATGACGCCACTGACGCCGCTTCAGTCTATTGCACAGCGGCAGCGACGGCGAGCCTGCGGCGGCGCCGCCCGGCGTCATCGTCACCGCGCGAAGCTCTTCCCTCAATAGTCGACGCGCACGCACACCCCTCCGGCGCCAAACCGCGCCCGGCCGACTGGCGCTGGAGCGCGAGACCCAGCGCGTGCCGCAATAGGGCGACCCTGTTTCAGTGGAATGTGTCGTTGGCCCCGGGCCGAGGCAAAACCCGCGGCGTTCCTCCTCCGAGTGCAAGCAACCAAAGAGCGCCGGTCGGGGCAATTTACGCCGGGGGCGGGGGGCGGGTTAACACACACGGCGGAAAGCTCACGTCACGGAATGCTGACATCGAAAGAGCGCGACAAATTTGGAATGCAGTGTGAGGCCGTCTCGCCTGCAAGCGCCAGCCGACAGTACGCACACTCGCACATACACCCACAGGGGCGTGGCATCGCAAACACGGCGGGAATGTATCGCCGCCGCGGCATCACATTATCTTCATCTTTGGCGTGTTCGCTGCCGCTCCCGGCCGCGCAGCTGCCGCCCGGCGTGACCCGCGGCGGCCCGGGGTCAGGGCTCAGCCCTCCGGCGCTGCCCAGGGTCAGCTGCCCGCGCGGCTCCGGTCCTACCGCTCATTTACCTGCGGAGACGCTGCAACACAGGCGGCGGGCGCGGTCAGTCGAGTGGCGAGCGACTGGCGGACTTCCGCGGCCTGGCGTGGTGCAGTCACCTCAAGAACTTTATCTAAAACTATCCACGTGCGTAGTAATAAACGGTACCGACCTCCTCCTACGTGCCACGATACCAGCTGACAGAATAATTCAGATTCTCAAGGTCTCGCCTTAAGCATTGTTTCCCTGAGAACCCTTTCTCTCTTACGTTCAACACGAGAGGGCATATGTGCCATTTCCGAAGAGTCCAGGGAGCCCAGGTACGGTCGTATGGGGCGGCGCAACACGTCAATCACTCGCACGCCGGCCCCGCCTTACCCGAGACCCCCCCCCCCCTCCCACACGCACACACACACACACGCACGGACGCTGCGTCACGCCGCCACCGGCGCGCGCGCCGACGGCTCTGCGGCATCGGCCGGAGCAGGCGGCGACGAGCAGCCAGCCCCCCCCCCCCCCAAACACACACAGGCAAGACAGGGACGCGCGCAGCGGCGGCGGCGGCGTCCGGCAGACGACCCGTCCCCCTCCCTCTTCCCATCATCACCCGGTGATCCAGTGATCTCGGGCTACGCCTGTGACGTTCAAGAGAACGCGCCCGGGGGGAGCGGGGAGGGGGCTTTATCTCCTCCTTCCCGTTCTCCCCGACCCCGGGACTCCCAGAGAGCGCGCCCTCCGGGGGGGGGGGGGGGGGCGCTCTATCTCTTCCTTCCCGTTCTCCTCCGAGCCCAGGACTCCCAGACCGTCAGCTGCTGACGCCGCCTCCGGATATGCGGCAAAGGTGCCTGTTCGCGTCATCGCCGTCACGGAGGTTTGTAAGGCTGCTTTACGAGAGCACCTGAGCCCGTCGCTGTAGCGCATCACGTTAGATCATTTGCAATAGATGGCTTGTTTTCCTTCTTCGACTGTTCCAACCATTTCGCCTACAGCATTTTGCAATTTCAAAAGCAAGGTAAAACAACAGTGCACCGAACCAAAGAAAGCTTACACTCCCCCTTTCCTCACACAACAAACAAAACAAACACGAGCTGTCCCGAAGACATGCTTAACAGGACCGCAGAGCAACTGCTAGCCACACACCGAAGAGTGTTGGCAGGGTGACTCTCCCGGCCTTCCCAGCACAACAAACCGCAGCCCCGAAACAATGGCAGGCCAGCAGGGAAACCAAACAAGAGCATCCCAAGTACCCAATAACATTGCAGCGGAAACCACTGCAGCCAATGAGCGCACAGCAAGACTCTCCAAAGCCCCCTGTGCTCCACGCAAACGCCGAGCCAAAGCAAGGTCGCCCGATAGCCAATGGCTGCACGGCAAAGCCACTCAGCCGCCAACGGCTGCACAGCAATGTCTTCTGCCAGCCAATGGCAAGGCAACACACCCCAAAGCCTATCAGAGCGCTGCAGGCCTCAGTCGTCTGCAGCCCAGGAGAGCAGCCAGTGTGGGGGGGGGGAAGGTCCGGTCCTGCAGGCATGACGTCACTGGGACCGGTTCGGACGGGGCGGGGCGGGAGCTGGGCGGAGCAGAGCAGGACCAATCACTGCAGGGACGGAGCGGCAGCAAACTACCCCAGTGCCCGGCTAGGGTGCATCTGGCGCGCCAGGAGACCGGGTGGTGCAGAAGAGCAGTCGGTGCCAATAAACGCACCGGAGGAGGAGTCAGCCAGTGAGTAGTGGAGTCAGAGGTGGGGCAGTTACACAGAACTGAGCCGAACACCGAGGGAGGAGTTAGCCGGTGAGTAGTGGAGTTAGAGGTGAGACAGTCACCCAGAGCTGAGTCAAATGCCGGGGAGGAGTCAGTCGGTGAGTAGTAGAGTCAGAGGTGAGGCAATCACACAGAGCTGAGTCAAACATTGGGAGCAGGAGTCAGTCGGTAATGAGTGAAGTCAGAGGTCCGGTGATGAGTAGAGTCAGAGAGGTGAGTCACACAGAGAAAAAAACAGGCCACGGAGCCAGAACCGAGAAGGGACAGTGGGTCGGATCGGGTGATGACTCATCAGCGATCAGCGGGTAGCACATCGACGGGAGAGAAAAGTCAGAGACGGGGTGGCGGGGGCGGGGGGGGGGGCGATCTCGGCGAGAGCGGGCCGGCCGGAGAGGGGAGGAGGGGGGGGGGGGGGAGGAGCCGGCCGTACCTCGGCCGGCCCCAGCTGGGGGTACACCAGCAGCGCTACAGACAGGAGCAGAGGGGCGGCCAGCAGCAGTGAGCCCAGACACACGTCAGCGACGCCTACCTGGCCGATCCGGAAGCTGCGCCGCCGCCGCCGCCGGCACACAAACACGTGGTCAGCCCCGCGGCACACGGTAACAGGCACACGCCCGCTCAGGCACGGGCACACGCGTGGCTTGGCAAAAGCACTGGGTTACGGGCGCAGTTCTACTTGAAAAAATTTGGTCAAGAGCGTAATGTTGCCTGATCAGCCAGGTCGTCAAGGACGTTTAGCAAAGCAAGCTGGCGGGGTGAAGAGGGAAAATGGCAACATCTACCCCAAAATACCAGAAACACGTTTTCTCCAAATTCGATCCACTGTTTTCCTCAAAGTTGGGAGACAGGCTGAAGGGGTGCACCCCCATCTCCCCAATGGACAGGAATATACACCCCCGAGACCGACCTAACCAAACCGCGGTCTCACCAGCCCCCGAGACCGGCCTAACCTAACCGCGGTCTCACCAGCCCCCGAGACCGACCTGACCTAATTGCGGTCTCACCAGCCCCGAGACCGACCAAACCTAACCGCGGTCTCACCGGCCCCCGAGACCGACCTAACCTAACCGCGGTCTCACCGGCCCCCGAGACCGGCCTACCCTAACTGCGGTCTCACCAGCCCCTCCCCTGCCCGGGTCACCCCGACCGGTGGAGTGCCAGCCGCGCGAGGTCACGCCCAGACCGTGTCACTACCAGTCGGTGTGTCAGTCCGGCGCCGCGACAGCGAGGTCAGGCCCGGACTGTGTCACTCCCAGTCGGTGTGTCAGTCCGGCGCCGCGACAGCGAGGTCAGGCCCGGACTGTGTCACTCCCAGTCGGTGTGTCAGTCCGGCGCCGCAGCCGGACTGAGTGTGTCACCCCGACCGGTGGAATGCCAGCCGCGCGAGGTCAGGCCCGGACTGTGTCAGTCCGGCGCCGCGGCCCGACTGAGGCGAAGAAAACATGGCGAGAGGAGGCGCGGGCCGCGGCCCAACCCGTGCGTGTAACTACCGTACAACGCCTGTGGGCCGTCTCACCCCAATATTTCAGTACATTTATTACTGGCCGTAAAGCTTCGAACAGGCTCTTTCCTGAACCATACAGGACAAAGCCTTCTGATTCACCCCAAATACGAGCTGGTCGTCTGGCGGGCCGAAAGACGCTTAAATCACAAATAATTAACACCATTAGTACGGCAACACCCATGTTTACTTGCTAGCATACTTATGCAAATCGGAAGAGGGGCATCAGCTGTACAGTGGCATAGACTCGCAAGCAAACTGGACAACCTAAGGTGAACCGGGCGAGTTAAGGGCGACCCAACCCGACGGCTCTGTTTTGTTAAACGCACAAGTTCACGAATCGAAATCAACGCTTCATTGGCTCGCATCGTAGACGTTACCATAAAAGGGAGTGTTCCATATTCATGTGGGTGTTTGAACTGAAACAGCCATCTTAAGGACCGTTGGTGAACAGCCTGCCCTCCCTAAGACTTAAAGCCCTCCAGTTTCTGAGCAATACGCCCGCAAAAATGTAGAGTATTTTAGGCTGAGAGGTTCAATGCCACCTAAGCATACATGACATCCTAATAACGTCATTCAAATCATGTCATTCCATAAGGCACGCGGCAATCAAAGCCGAGAAAAAAATACTGGTCCAGTCATTCATATCTAGCGTTCGTGAGCACGATTTCGAGATGTAACGACCGTCAATTAGCTCTCAATGTTTTGCAGGGTACGATGAGGTACTCAAACAATAACGTATCAAGGAGCATAGTTACTAAACAGGGAAATTGTGTTGTCTAGAGCAGTCTTTTCTACTTAACAATATACCAAAGCTATAAATGAGTTTGTTTCATCATATCCCAAGCTTTAATATCTTCAAATGTGAAACATTCTGTTTAAGCCATGACTCGCCCACTTGTACATGTGAGCTCAGATTAATGCGTTGCACAATACCCTTGTTCGCCGACTGCGCACCCCGGGCGTACCCGATTCCAATCTAGTGTTATTAGATATTTGTACCTAAATGACCCTTTTCGTATTTTTCCGTGACGCTCCATCCTGCCGGCGCACATCTCACTTGCCACCGCAAGCGGCGGCACACTGACACCCAGCCAGCAGCCGGGTGTCGGCGCAGGGTCCGGCACGGCCAGCGCGGCGGCGCACCGACACCCAGCCAGCAGCCGGGTGTCGGCGCAGGGTCCGGCACGGCCAGCGCGGCGGCGCACCGACACCCAGCCAGCAGCCGGGTGTCGGCGCAGGGTCCGGTACGGTCAGTACGGTTCACAGCCAGGCTGCTGCCGCTCTGGGCCACAGTGCCGGCACTCCTGCCCGCCAGTGCTACCGACCACGCGTGTCTAGTACCACTAGCTCGACAGCTGCTACACAGAGTGCAAAGAGGGGCAATGAGCGACGCAATTGAACCAAACACAAATGTATGGCGTCCTGGGTATGGTTTAATGCTAACATCAACGACACAAACGCAAATGAAACGTTGATTTGGGTTGATGAACTCGTGCGTTTCACAAAAGAGAACCGCCACAAAAAAAGCAGGCCATGGCGTTGTGCAGTCGCAAAATCGGTGGGAACCGACAACGGAACAAACGGCATTCATATACTGATGTTGGATGTTCAGAACTCATTAGCCATGTTAGGTGTTCTGCCTGTGTAGCCGCGCAATAAGGCCCGTTCGGGCTATGCACGGACTCGAGCCAAGCAGCGATTGTGTTCCATTTCGTTCTGAGATAATTCGATTCATTGTAATTTTTAAGGAATGAGACCGACTGAAAGGCGTGTCCGACAAATTTAAAGAACGACAATTCAGACCAATGAACCTAAAGGAATGTGATAGAAAACTCCCACGCAAAGATTTGACGATCCTGCGGCTACGACACCGATCATAATTACTCGGAGCAACTGCCAATTCATTTGGAAGGAAGGCCTGGCAAAATATCGCACCGGATCGCGCTGTAATTCCAAGCCATGGTGGAGTGGCATGGGAAGCACTGCAGACGCTGCGTGATCGCAGCATACGCCGAATGCTCTAAACGATGTTTTTGCACAACACGCTGTCGCAGAGTGAGTAACGCGCCGCGTGCCGAAGTGCGTGCCTGCCGCATACTACGGGGAAGCCTGGGCCTCCGACAGAAAATACGAAAATGGGCGTGATGCAGGGGTGAGGTTTCCGTTTCAGTTGGGGGCTACAGCATCTCCAAAATGATTCAAGCCTCCAACTTGGGAGAGGTGGGACAAATCCCATGGAAAACCCACTTGCTGGCGCAGTTTGCGGGCCGATTGAGTCAGTTTCCAGTTTTAAGCCCTCCCCAAGCTCATTTTGCGAAGCGACGCCCATGACGTGAATGCACTTGGTGAATGCACCACAATGCACACGTGAATGCACCGCGCCCTGGACCCGCTCCCTGAAGAAAATCCCGGGTGCGTTCCTGTTCGGGAGGCATGCAAAATGCTGCACACCAAAACCAGATACAATGAAAGGCCAAAGGCGAGGGCGACGGGCTGGAGGGACCGGCACCGTCATAGGAAGTTTTGTTGTTGCTTCATGACGGACGCAGGGCTGCAGGCAAATCATGTGGTGGTATGTTTAATGTGAGGTTGGATGAGTGAAACAGATAAAGAGATGAATTAAACTGAGTGCCATGAATCCATAATGTATTCATAGCACACAGCTTTAACGTATTTGCGAATAATCCGTCGGGCAAGTATCGCGCAATGACAGTCAAACCACAACCTCACCCCGACGCAGCCGTGCCTGCGTTTTCGTGGTTTTCCTTCCGAACGCTGGACCGTCCGTGACTCGCCGCCCCCTTAGCCTGTCCGTCTGCCTGCGAGTCTGTGTCATTTTACAGCTGACGCTCCTCCTTCAATTGCACACGTCTGCCAGTAAGTTAACATGGGTGCCGCCGAACTAGTGGCATTGCATATCTGTGCCACGGACTGCACGATACTGTCCAGTGAGCCCAGAAAAAAACCCGATATCGCCTGGCTATGGAGACCATAACTAGTGATCATAATACACTTATGTGTAAGCTCAGTAAAATCCAATACAACCGTGCTATCACAAACTGAATTATATCTCCGTTTTCCCTGCCTTGAATGATAAGCAAAGTGCATATCATGAAAGCCGTGCTTTCCATTCCATCCCTGATGGTTGTGACACGGGGCGCCGGTCGGTAATGGGGACACGGAACATTAGACCACAGCCAGGCCACGCCGACGTGCGTCCGCATCAATGGTGTGACGTCATACACCCGGCATGTCCCCCGACAGGAGACACGTGACAACCGACGGCATCGGCCGCCCGCGCGTCACAGCAGACTCACGTGATCACGTGCGGGTCCTCCGTCACCACCTGCCGACAAACGGACCGCTGTGAGCGCAGCCGCGTCACCTGTCGACCGTGACGTCACACCCGCCGTAACGTGACCCGGAGCGCGACGTCATTGTCGGATGACGGCCCGAGCGAGGCAGCCGCGTTTGCAGGAGGCGGCAACAGCACAGACCGACGTGCGACGCGACGGCTGAACGCCTTACACTTCACACGCAGTTCGTGCAACAAAGCAGCGTCTGGACAAAAATCGGCTGTCCGTGTGAGTGAGATTTAATCCTCGATCTGCCAACGTCGAGAAACAATGCTGTTCTACTATTTCTATCATTAGAATGCCTTTACTGATGGCTGATTTGATGTTCGACCTCCGACATTGCATCATTAAGTGGTGGAGAGCGGCGTGGTACAAGATGTCTGCAGAACACAGGGCTGCCCAGCTGGACAGCAGGCCTGCAAGCAGACTGCTGCCGTGATCACACCCACCTGGCTGGCCTGAGTGGCGACCGTGCTGACATCTAGCGCCGTCGTGGCGTACTTAGACATCTGCTGTTGCAGCAGGTGGATGGTGCGGTCTTTCTCCTCCAGCTGCTGCTGCAGTGCCGCCACCTGCCGAGCAGCAAGGAAACTAAGCACACAACAGTTCTGCCATCTCTGGGCTCCCAAGGTAACTAACCGCGGTGCGGCGCTTCTGCCTTTGGTGCCAGCAGCCAGTCCTTCGCTGGCGGCACGGTGGTTGCTTCTGACGTCACAGATAGCACGTCCTCACGGGCCACACACACCACACTTCTATTCGCTCGTGCCTGGCGCATCCCGCATGTGACGTCACCGGCAGGCGAGTCGCTACAGGTTGCATGCCTAACATAGTAACTACCATTGCAGACAAGGTCGAGGTCTACGGTGCTCGCACCAATCGTCACACGCAGCCTACCGCTGGCCCGGACAAGACCTGGGAAATGAACTGCCAGGCGCCGATGCACCACCGGCGGGCTCCATGAATATGCATGTTGAATGCACATAAGCCACGTCGTTCTTCAGCCGTCAACGCCGTTGAAACCTAACAATGCCCGCCAAAGCACTACGTCACCTCCCCTCCATCGACCGTGCTCGTTAGCCGCGACACCCAGGCCGCAACGCACAGCTGTTCATCTCCAAGACAGGGGGACCCTTAGCCGTGAAAACCGAAAATGACGTCATCGCGGCCGGCGCTAAAAGAGGCGACGTGTTTATTGGCCGACAGAAGGCGGTATTCAGGCTTTTAACAAGCTGGGCTTATGGTTTTTTCCACGCATTTTTCAACGAACGTGCCAAGTTGCTAGTGCATTTCGAAGTCCTCCAACCATACAAAAAAGCACATGAAAAGTCGAAAGTGAAAAGGGTTCATTTGAGACAGGGCAACTTCAAAACAAATAACATTGAAATAAACAAATCCGCTGCTTTAGTTTCAACCAATCAACATGCATCATCCAACCCCATAGCCAATGGACATCCAAGCACATACATTTGTTTACATTGCATTACATTATTTACGTTACATTCGTCTACATGTCTCATTTGTTCACAACTCCTGTTCCACGGCTGACGACGTCACCACAGCGCCCGAACCGCAGCGCCTGGCGCAGCCGTCTGTGAGCACCGAGCGACGGCGACCCACCTGCTTCTTGAGGTCGGCGTTCTCCGCCGCCAGGTCGGCGCCACCGTCGACGCTGCCCCTGCCGTCTAACGACGACACCTCGCTGGACACCGACGTGCCGCGCCGGCCCGGCTGGGTGACGCCACATCGTGACGTCAGGTGATGTCACACAACCGTGACGTCAACACACGAACCCCAAGCAGTGTGGAGACTCAGGGGATGGCGTAGGTAGAAAGGCGAACTCAGCCGCGAACTTACAAACACTTGTCGCGTGACGCGCATTGGGACGGCTGCCGATAACCCGCTGTTAAACATCTCAAAACTGTGCGTCTAAAACGTTACTTAGTTGGTGCATATCTCACAACTGCAAACAGTGTGTTTAAGTTGCGCAAGTACGCCGCCCTCAGGTCCGCCCTCCCTCCTCGAGGAGGCCGCTGTGACCAGTGGCGCCACCCGATCGCCTCCCGAGCCGATACAGGCCGCCAGTCGCATGCTACACCGGCGTCCGCACGCTGCGGGGTCGGCTCACCTGAAGACTGTGCTCAAACGGATTGGACGTCTCCGACTGAAACACGCACGACAACTTTGTCAAATTGCTGAAGCGTTAGGAGTGCCAGCAAGCACACTAGACAAACCTAGTCATGGAAGGCTAATCGGAAGCCATAGCACGCTGGACGGCGCGGATCCACCGAGCATCGACCGCGCTAACACCGTCAGCCTAAGACAGGCTGCCCCGGCGGAGCTACTACATGGACACGGATCGCGACGGTGCTGCCACCTGTCCACCCCGCCGCCAGCCGCCAGGGCCCGTCACAAAAGGCGCCAGTGATGCGACGCTCGTGCAGTTTAACGCTTCGCGAAATTGGTGGCGCGTCATACACGTCATTCCCCGATATTCGATTCCGGAGCCAAGAAACTGCGTCTGCTCGCCCAGAAATCTCCGGAACAACCCGCTGCACGCTGGCGCCCTGCTAAAACCCAGGAAGCGAGGGGGTCCCAGGGATCTTAATAGGGACAGACGGTCACGGTAACAGGCCCCCGGCGGCCGGCCCTCCGGGCGCCGCCGCCTGCCGCTGCCGACGGACTCACATCCTGCAGCACGCGGCGCAGCTTGTGCAGCATGGTCTTGGTGTGGGTGAAGTCCTGCGCCATGTACATATACGTGTCCCGGTCGATCAGGAGCCAGTCCTCGGCGTCTTGTGTCGAGCTCTGACGACACGGGTCAGGTGTCAGAGATGACGACCCCTGGGTCAAGCTCTGGCGACGCAGGTCAGGGGTCAGAGGCGACGACCTCTGGCGACACGGGTCGGGGGTCACAGGTGCCAACCTCTGGCGACACGGGTCAGGTGACGACCTCTGGCGACATGGGTCAAGTGACAACCTCTGGCGACACGGGTCGGGGGCCGCAGGTGCCGGCCTCTGGATCAAGCTCTGACGACACAGGTCATAGGTGCAGACCTTCGGGGAGCCAGCACAAGGTAAGGGGTGCTGACCCTGAGGCCAAGGGTCACGGGTTAGCGGTGACTGGCTGTGACCTGTGGCAGCGCAGGCCACAGGTGAGGGGGTCTGGCAGACGGAAACACCGGTCACTGGTCAGGTCAGGTCAGGGACTGACCTCTCACGACCGGCTTATGATGCGGGTGGTACTGGTCTCTGGCAGAGATCTTCCCATGCGCACCATATATGACTCAATAATCATCAACGACCGAGTTCACGCCAACAATGACCTAACCCGGTACCGCTCGCGCTTACTCCGGTGCCAGGCCGATGGGCCACACTGTCAGGCTGAGTGACAGACTCATAGATGGCGTCTGGTGAAGGCTCACTTAGTCACGAGAGAACTCGCCAGTGATAACACGACGGAACAAACCCACAGCATGGTGTCAGCAAATCCCCCACGTGGCGCAACAATACCCCGGCGTTTTCATCCACCGACTGCGAATGTCGCCGTTGCGCCACATACCGCGGGGGGAGGGGAGGCTCCGGTCCCATTCTGAACACGGCCGACCGGTCTACTGTTGATCCACATCAGATAACGAAAGGCGGGACACGTGCTAGCTCAGCCTTAGCCTGCACCGGCCGGCCCGGGCCCATCTGTGACGTCACAGCGGCAGCACGGTGCGTGTCCCGCGGTCAGTCTGATCCAGGTCGGTTCAACGGGGTCACCGGCCCCACTTCACAACGGGACGACCGCGGCAAGTGTCATTTTCGCGGTGCTGAATTTCCGGTGTAATTTTTCTGGAGTACCGGTTACAATGGCCCGGTAACTGGCTGCATTTACAGCCAGTGGCACGGCTCCGACTGGGTCACTGTCTGAGCCACGGCAGCCACGGTGACCAACGGCCTTCTCCGTTCGCAAACTGACCACGGCTCCGACTGCGTCACTGTCTGAGCCACCGCAGCCACTGTTACCAAACAGCAGCCACTGCTGTCACCGGGCTCCTCCGTTCGCAAACTGATTACGGCTTCGACTGCGTCAATGTCTGAGCCACGGCAGCCACTGCTATCAACGGGCTTCTCTGTTTGCAAACTGATTATGTCTTCGACTGCCTCACTGAGCGACGGCAACCAACATCGCCACAAGACTTCTCCGTACGCAAACCGACCACGGCCCAGACCATGCATCATGATAGTAATCAGGCTCCATTGGTCACGAACTGCACCTGGGTCTAACCGGACTTCGTGACACGGTCCATTATCATTATGGACTTATAACGCACTCAGCTGCTGAGGCTACATGGCGTCTCATGCCTCTCGCCGAGCGGACACCGCGGGGAATCGAACCCCGTACCTCTGGTTTCCAAGACGGACAGCTTAACCACTACACCAACGCAGCTAAAAGCGTTTCTGGCTTACAATCTGACCAGCGCGCTGAGCGGGCTTTGTAACGACGTTAACGCCCATCCCAATCCATAAACTGACCGCTCTCTTGACCGCGTTTTATAATGTGGGAAACCGCCTACCACGACCTTATTGATCTGACCGACACTACGACGGTGGCTCGTCGCAGAACACCTGTCACCAGCCGGAGCTCATGGCCCAGTCCCTGGCTTCACAAACCAACCGCGGTGCAGCGACTCCCACCGGGTCAGAGACACGCTCACGCTCACGCGGCCCGACACAACGCAGACCCCGCCCAGGCCGCCTCTGCGCCGCACGCCTGCGCGGGCCTTACGACGCGAGCTGACGCTCCCTCGCTCAGCAGCGAACCCAAGCCCCCAGACAACCCCAGGCTAGGCCGAGTCAGGCCCCCGACCGGCGACGGTGAGGTGCCCACCTGGCGGGGTGGCCGCAGCAGCTTGGCCGGCCCGGTCGGCTCCGGCGAGGGTCGGCTGGCATCGGCGCTGCTCGCCGCCCGGATCCTCATCCGCTGCAGCCGCGTGATCTGGCCCGACAGGCTGCAACAGAGCGCGTCGCGGCGTCAGGGCGGCGACGGCCAGAGCAGAGGCCCGCCGCACGGCCGGCCAGAGTCAGACAGGCTGCAACAGAGCGGCGCCGAGGCGTCAGGGCGGCGACGGCCAGAGCCTGAGGCCCGCCGCACGGCCGGCCAGAGTCAGACAGGCTGCAACAGAGCGGCGCCGAGGCGTCAGGGCGGCGACGGCCAGAGCCAGAGGCCCGCCACACGGCCGGCCGGCTCAGTGACATGACACGAATGGATGGCGAGTGAATGACGCGTCACGAATGAATGGTGAATGGATGGCATGGCAGGCGGATATGACGTTTGACAACTGACGACAGGCGGTTGGTGTGGTCCGAAAAACTGCGATGGAATGCGAAAAATGCGCTAGGCATAGGCGAGCTTACGAAAACACCCAGTACCAAATGCGTTTATCCGCGATCGGCGCGTCATCCAGGCGGGCGGACGGAGGCGTGACACGACCAAGACGCTCGCCAGTGGTGAACAGGCTATCGGGTCCGACAGCACAGGAACGGCGCGAGGGACGCCGGGAGCTGGCCTCGCAACCGCCCTGGGCGACGGCGGCCGGCCGGGGCGCCCAGCACCGGCCACGGCAGAGACGAACACCGGACACAGCAGGGACGAACACCGGACACAGCAGGGACGAACACCGGACACAGCAGGGACGAACACCGGACACATCGGGACGAACACAGGTCGCAACAGGGCCAAACGCCGGCCACAGCAGGGACGAACACCAGCTACACCAGGGCCGAACGGGACGCCGCGCTGGGGTCGGCGTCAGACCGTAACTGGCGTCAAGGTGGCGCGATCCGCCGCCGCTGAGGCTCCGCGGCGCGCTCCCAATGCGCCAGTTCACACCTGGACGTGAGGCCGACGCGACAGATGCCGCGCAGACAGCTGTAGCGCAGACACATGTCAGATCGCAAAAGGCGCATCAATCGTAAATGGCGACGCGATGGTGCGCGCCCTTCCACAGTCGGGACAGTCACAGAGGGCGTTCCCAACAGTGGCAGCTGGCTCTGCACACGTCGTAACACACCCTCAAACGAGCGCCGACGCCGCCCCACCCCCTAAAAAACAGTCCCGGAAGCGGGCGGCGGCCGGCCGGATACGGCTACCGTGCGACTCCCACGACGGACCGGCGGACGGGCGGCGGCGCGGGGCGACGTCCGCGCCGCCGGACCCAGGTGTCCTGAGTTCGGACCGGCGCCTCTGGGCGGGTCCTCCAGCGGCACCCTCCGCGGGGCGACGTCCGCGCCGCCGGACCCAGGTGTCCTGAGTCCGGACCGGCGCCTCCGGGCGGGTCCTCCAGCAGCGCCCGTGGCTTTGTTATCTGGCTTTGGATGCGGCACGGGCGGCGGATTTGCCCGCACTGCGCTCGTTTAATACCCGTCTCCTTCCAGCGGATCTTCTAAAACCCCGCCTGTGCACACGGCGACGGCGCCTCGACCGAGCAGCCCGTGTCGGTTCACCGGTCCCCCCCCCCCCCCCTCCCACAACACGGGGCGGACGGCCTACCGAGCCGAGCCGGGGTCAGAGGTCACGGTCCGGTGCCGGGCGCCGCTGAGCGCCGACGCCACGGACGCCTGACGCCCGCACAGGTCACGGGGTCGCCGCCGCGGCCACCCCAGGTCAACGACGGTAGTTCAAGACGGGCAATCGTCGCAGAAACGGCCGGCCAAATTGCCGCATGCGGGCCGCGGCGGCGGTGAGACTGCCGGCCGGCTGCGGCGCGGCGGCCGCGGCGGAGTGCGTCGGGCAGTGCGTCGCCGGAACACTCGATCTACTTTGCGTTCTGTTACAACTTCAATATCAATTGCGACGGCGCAAGACACATGCCCGTAAGCGGGCGCCCGGTTAGGGACATTAATCGGGCATGACCTCTTTAGCAGGACACAGATACTGAACGCGACATAGAACGTATCCACCACCTAGGCGAACAATATGGATCTATCTCTCACGAAACATCGGAATGTCGTATCAGTCACCAAATGTGTGCCTTCGGCGTTACGGATTGGCATTGTGCAAGCAAAATTTGGGGAGTTTTACCAACAAATTCGCTTTTTAGGTACCTGTTATCCATCCATCGCCGTCGGCCTGATGTCCAAGTCTGAACCTACTGGCTAGCATCGTCCAAAACCCTGCATTAGTACGCGCTCGGGTGGGGGGTCAAACTGACCCTCCGACAGTTTTTTCCAGAATGGTTTCCGAACGTGTGTGTCATTGGGGCTTTACGACGCACTCGGCAGCTGAGGCTATGTGGCGTCGCCTGTCACTCACCCTGGCAGGAAGGGCGGGTACCGCGGAGAATCGAACCCCGTGCCTATGATTTCCCAGACGCGCAGTGGTCAACGCAGACGCGTTAACCGCTACCCTACCGGCACCATACGGTTTCTGAACGGCGGGGCGGAGCCGCGCCAAATTTTGCATGGCTGTAGACAATTAAGTAGCGGTTCGTCTGGCATCCAAAATATAAATACAACTTGTGAGGTCGCTGACCTATGGCAGGTCAAAGTCATGTCATGGTTTCAGCGAAGGTAATTTCTAGGGAATCGTTCAATCTGATCCAACAAGGAAGTGTTAGACGAAGCCATAAATATCTGAGATACTTTATTAAGCAACACAGCAACTGAATAAGCAAATCACATTGACCTAAGGTCAGGTATGAACTTCAGACCAAGGTAAAACAACAATATGTTTTATTACTCTAGCGCTTGTTGTATGTAGTTCCTGGTGTTCATTTCGAATTTATTGATGACGGGAATCGCATTATACACTTTGTATAGACTTTTTAAAAGTCAGAATAGGTCACTGACCTTGGATAACCCAGATTAACATTTTCTGTTTAGGAACGTACTGCCTGGCGTAATCTTTGTCGCTTATCCAGATGCAAAACTCAAAGCTGTCTTGTACGATTTTGTTCATCATGACATTCAAAAGGTCAAACAAGGTCAATGACTAGGATGAGCATGTGACGTTTTGCTTACAGTTATCCAGGCTCTGGGGCCCTTTTGAGACCAGCCTGCAATTTGACCTTGTTTGACCTTATTTAACCCGAACATCATAACCTAGGAACCTCAAACTTTGACCTATAAGAGTTCACGTATAGGTCAACACACTCCGTGAATTTGGTACATCTAGCTCTTTTAGTTCCTGAGATCTCAGGAGGCTCAAGTTGCCCTCCCCCCCCCCACACCTGGGCGAAGGGTATCCAACCGGCCACCCGGGCGCGTGTTAACAGCCGTGTGCACCAACTGCCGTGGCGACAGCGACGCAGTGGTGGAGGCCCAAGGTCTCGTGCTTCATATCACTGCCCTGTGGTCCACTCAGTCACGTCCAGATCCGGCCACACCACGTGGCCACGGTATCCAGATCCGACCACGCCGTGCGGCCACGGTATCCAGATCCGGCCACACAGCGTAGCCACAATATCCAGATCCGGCCACACCGCGTGGCCACAATATCCAGATCCGGCCACGTCATGTGACCACGGTATCCAGATCCGGCCACACCGCGTGGCCGCAGCTCAGGGCAGCAGAGACCGGACCGGGGTCGGGGTAAGCAGCAATGTCACGGCAACCAGAGCGGGAGGGAGGGGGGGAGGACGTACGCCAGACCCGAGCCGACTCCTGACGAATTCCACCAGCGGGTGACGCGCACCGCACGTGGAGCAAGTAACCGCAGCAGCGGCGAGCGACAGGCGGCGCGCGCCCGTGATTGTTGTTTGCATGCGCCAGGCGCTCTCCAAGGTGAGACCTCACTCGGCGTCACCACATGGCGACCACCCGCCGTGAAATCGGCGTCAGAAAAATAAACCCGCCGCCGGCCGGCGACTACAACACGGCGCGCACCGCCCGGCTGGTCGACATACACTGCTCCAGGCGGCAAACGAGGCGCGGCCGTCAACGAAACGGCCGGCGCGCGGTGGCAGTCAAGGCGCCGCGTCCGACAGAGGCCTGCCACACGGCCGGCGCTGGAAGGTCCAGCGGGGAGGGCCCGGCTGACGGACAGTCGGCCGGCGCTGGGAGGTCCCGCGGGGAGGTCAGGCTGACGGACAGTCGGCCGGCGCTGGGAGGTCCCGCGGGGAGGTCAGGCTGACGGACAGTCGGCCGGCGCTGGGAGGTCCCGCGGGGAGGTCAGGCTGACGGACAGTCGGCCGGCGCTGGGAGGTCCCGCGGGGAGGTCAGGCTGACGGACAGTCGGCCGCCGCTGGGAGGTCCCGCGGGGAGGTCAGGCTGACGGACAGCCGGCCGGCGCTGGGAGGTCAGGCCGACGGACAGCCGGCCGCCGCGGGGAGGTCAGGCCGACGGACAGCCGGCCGCCGCGGGGAGGTCAGGCTGACGGACAGTCGGCCGGCGCTGGGAGGTCCCGCGGGGAGGTCAGGCTGACGGACAGCCGGCCGCCGCTGGGAGGTCCCGCGGGGAGGTCAGGCTGACGGACAGCCGGCCGCCGCTGGGAGGTTAGGCTGGCAGACAGCCGGCCGCGGTAGCAACAGACTGGCTCACGGTGCCTGCAGCAGCTGACGGCCTTTGGGGGCCGTCGCGTCGGCTCGGCCGTAGTTCGTCGTCTTTCTGATGGGTCAGTGGAGCTATCTTCGTAAGTCAGGCGTTACATCTAACATGGTGCCATATGGCAGATGCTGCAACCAGTATCGAATCACACGGATTTTTCGCACCGTACCCACGAGACGCGGACCAAATCATCATTTCTCCAGAGACTGCATTTGCCACCAGATACATTTCAAAATGTGATTTGCGGGGCCTTTCAACTCGTCTTGTTTTTTTCACGAACGCTCAATTTCGCTCCACTAAGACCTGCTAGCATGTGATGAACAGCCGAATCATGGCATGTCTTGTCGATAGATCGCAGCTGCCTACGCTGCTCCCAGAAACGGTGTGGCCCAGGCAGTGTTCCTGACGTCGCCGATCAACAAGAGGTTTGATAGAGGCAACCTCAGAGATGTGATGCACACACGCTAATTGCTTTGCACAAAGCTTGCAACGAACCCCATTGTATGGGAAAGGGCTTCTTCCTGATGAAAGCAGGATTTGCGTTAACCAAGCATGGCCGCCGCATCTCAATGCCAGACAGAACATTGTTCTTGACGAGGTCAGATGACTCGTCGTCACGGGACGTTTACTGCTAATGCGAGGACTTCCAGAGAAACGGACCAAGACGTGCCCAGGTACCAGCGGTGCGAGAACTTCCGGAGAGACAGACCCAGACGTGCCCAGGTACCAGCGGTGCGAGAACTTCCGGAGAGACAGACCAAGACGTGCCCCGATACCAGCGGTGCGAGAACTTCCGGAGAGACAGACCAAGACGTGCCCAGGTACCAGCGGTGCGAGAACTTCCGGAGAGACAGACCCAGACGTGCCCAGGTACCAGCGGTGCGAGAACTTCCGGAGAGACAGACCCAGACGTGCCCAGGTACCAGCGGTGCGAGAACTTCCGGAGAGACAGACCCAGACGTGCCCCGATACCAGGCCGGCTCAGTTGGGTCCGTTCGCGTCGACGAACACTGCCAATTATCTTACGCCTGCTGACTGAGTTGACACTACGACTGACGCGACCAGACTTAATAAAATGAAATTCAATCATCGAATAACGGCGCAGAAACTCGGCTACCAAAGCAAAGAAAGCCGTACCGCGTGAGACTTTTGGTCTCGTCTAGTCTGGTCTGGGGCGTGGGGGAGACGTCACCGCGCCTCCACACCGCTCGCCCGACCCCTGGGTCTGGTCCTGACCGGGGCGGCCGGCGGTGTCACACCCGCCCGACCCCTGGCGTGCCCTGTCCTAACCAGGAGCGACCGGCAGGGTCACCGGCCGCCCGACCCCTGGTGTGTTCTGACCCGGTGCAGTTGGCGGGTCACCGCCCCCCCCCCCCCCCAACCCCCGGGTCTGTCCTGACCCGGTGCACCTGCCGGCGGGGTCCGCACCTGTCCTGCCGGCGGGGTCACCGCCCGCCCCGCTCCGCTCCCGGCAGTGTCCGTACACGGCGGTACAGTACAGCGGCGCAGTTCTGCGAGCACACACCCGATCAACAGTGGTGAGAGCCACCACCAACACCAACCGCCTTAACTAGACCACTGTGCCAGAAGGCGACGCTTCCTATCCAAACCGAGGAGAGGGAGGGGGGGGGGGGGGAACTGGAGCAACCACAGAGCGCGGCACATGTAAGCAGCCGGTGCGGGAGCGGGGGGGGGGGCTACAGTCCCCCCCCCCACTGCACGCGCAGCTACAGCCGTGGTACGGTCCACGACAGTGCGACCATGGCACGTGCGGTGCGCCGCCTCAGCGGCCGCTAATAACACCGGACAAACACCGACAGCGCCCGAGCCGGCCGGCCGGGTCGGCGGCCGCAGGTGGCGCTCAAGGCCGCCGCCCAAGCTTTGCCGGCTGTGCGATCGATTCGTTTGCGTCTGCCACACACCCCACCACTCGAGAGCGACGTGGGCAAGGTCAGGTGGCGGACGGCAAAACGGCCGCGCGCGTCGCCACAGCTCTCGCACTTGACTGATAGTTCTGTGATCTGATCAGTGTTCCAAACAAGCATCCTGTCGTGAATTCCACGCGCAGATCTGTGGCACGCACCGTTACCAGATACAGTGCTTCCATTATCACATATCCCTCACGGATATAAGGGAATATCAGCATATCCACGCCAGCATCGCATCATAATATCTGGAATCACACGTGAGACCCCTCATTACATGCTCAGTTGCGAAAACCCACAGACCCGTGCACTATGCGCCGTAGCACACGTCGTTACTAGATAAGAAATACCAATGCAACCGTCATAAATCAGTCCGCGGAAGCCCAGACACGACGTCACGTAGGGCGCTGGTGATTTATAGCTGGGGTTTCGTCCAGCGCGTGTGGTGGCTGTCGTTACCTGGCAGCTGCCACGCGGCAGCGGCCCGACAAACACCAGCCCGACACGTGCAGCGCCAGCTGGACAAACAGCACTCACAACACTTTAAGATGGCCAAACGGCAAATGCCAAATGGTGCACGTTCTCATCCTTCGTCTTTGTCATTAAGTTTATCACTTATTTACCGTTGAGCTCACGGGTTCGCCATGTTGCCAAACAACCACAGATCAGCTGGCAAAACACACGCTGGCGGATTGCGCATGCCTGTGAAAACCGGGCCAGTTGCAGCTGGGCTGGGCTTGGGGCGGGAACTGGAAGTGAGAGGTACGCTCTCTCACGCAAGTCACGGCGTCAACAGCGCGCGTCACCGGCCGTCAGGTGTGCGTTCCACTCCCCTGACAGCGGACTGTCAGGTATGTGTTCCACTCTCCTGACCGCCGGCCGTCAGGTATGTGTTCCACACCCCTGACCGCCGGCCGTCAGGTATGTGTTCCACTCTCCTGACCGCCGGCCGTCAGGTATGTGTTCCACTCTCCTGACCGCCGGCCGTCAGGTATGTGTTCCACTCTCCTGACCGCCGGCCGTCAGGTATGTGTTCCACTCTCCTGACCGCCGGCCGTCAGGTATGTGTTCCACACCCCTGACCGCCGGCCGTCAGGTGTGTGTTCCACTCCCCTGACCGCTGACTGTCAGGTATGTGTTCCACTCTCCTGACCGCCGGCCGTCAGGTGTGTGTTCCACACCCCTGACTGCCGGCCGTCGGGTATAAGTTCACCTCCCCTGGCCGCTGGCCGCCCCTTCTTGTCCCTGGGCTGCGCAGCAGCGCCATGCCTCGGGTGGTGTGGGGGAAACCGTGTGGGGTGCGGGTGGACGAGCGTGTGTGGGGGGGGGACGGGGCGGGGGGTGGTGGGAGGGGGGGGGGGGGTCGACGCAGCCTGCCAGCCCAGAAGCGTGGGAGGGAGAGAGAGTGGCCAGCAGCACGCCAGCTGCACAGCCACAAAGGCTGTACCGCGCCGTCACACAACCAAAGCATGCAGCGCGTGCACCAACAGGGCCGCCGCCGAGTCAGCGTCACACCGCCAGCACCGGCGGCGCTGACACGACACAGCCGGCCGACACGGCCGCCGGGACCACAGAGAACGGCGGCCCACATTCCAACAGCTCCGCCCCACCCCGGGCCCGGCTGCGGCGGCTGCGGCGGCGGGGGGAGGCGCGCCGCAGCGCTCCGAGCCCTCCCCTCCCCGCCCGCCGGCCGCGCCTACCGCGCCGGCCCACTGTGGTACCCAGTGACTCAGCGGGCGGCCCGCCCCGGCCCGCATGCCGTCGCCGCTTGGGTCACGCTCCGGGGGTCACGCCGGCTGGAGACGGGCCGTGGCCGGACGGCACGGCAGGGTTGCCCGGGGCGCTCGCGGCAGCGCCGAGCCCGGCTGGCGCGGGACACAAGAACGACGCTGGGCCCGCCGACTGGCCACCTAACTCACGTAAAAGCGGCCCTCTCTGTCAACACTCAACACGCCCCGAGCGGCGGCACCTGGCGCCCGTCAGCTGTCGCCAGTCAGCGGTCGTATCCTACCCTCGGCCCAGACCTTGACCCCGGCCCAAGCGCAGCTACATCTCGCCTCTGATGCAGCCCTGCATCGTGATTGGCTGCTCCCTGCTACACGAAAACCGGCCGGCGTACGTGCCGCCAGCACTGCGCCTCATTTCTTATCGGCGACACATCGTTGATATCGAGGAGTGCTGGTTTAAACCGGACCGCGGCCGAAGCAAACAACCCCAACCATTCAGCACACGCCGCTTCTCTGATACAGAAGGGTGGACCAGGCCGAGCGGCCGATACATGCGCCATTCCGTCCGACCTGTCTGTCCCACTGACAGAGAAGGGTCGAACAAACGACATCCTCGAAGTACACACACGCACGCACGCACGCACGCACGCACGCACGCACGCACGCACGCACGCACGCACGCACGCACGCACGCACGCACGCACGCACAGCACGCACGCACGCACGCACGCACGCACGCACGCACGCACACACAAAGGTTAGCTGCCAGTTGCCAGTTTCACGTGGGTGGACGGCTCACCAGCGCCTGGTCAGCTCAGCCCCCGTCCCCCTCAGTCCCGTTGCCCCGCCGTCTCCGCTGTCCCGCCCCCGCCGGTCGTCGCTCCTACCTGACGCTGCGGCCCTGCGGCCCGGGCCGGGCCGGCGCCACCGGCGGCTGGTCCCTCATCTCGTCACACCGCCAGCGGCCGCGGCTTGACCCTCAGGTCAGCAGACGACCTCGCCGGCCGCGGCCGGCGCCGGCCGGCGGCGCTCTCCCGCACTGTGGCGGTCTCTCCCCTCTCCCGCACGCGCTCGGTCCCAGCACTGTCGCAGTCTCTCCCCTCTCCCACACGCTCCGTCCCTGCACTGTCGCAGTCTCTTCCCTCTCCCGTACGCTCGTTCACAACACTGTGGCGCGTCGCCGTCTCCCAGGCACCGGTCTCGGCGTCCCAGCTCCTTGATCTTGGCCTTGACCGCCGGGTCTCGGTCGCCGCCGTCGTGTGTCCGGCCGCTGCGGGCGGTCTGCTGTCAAGTGACGACTGCTGCCGGACACGCGGCGTGCCGCCGGTCAGCACCGACGCGGCCGGCCGAGGGACGCGGCGCACCGTCGACCTCCCGCCGAGCGCCGACACAGCACCGCGTCCGCAGCGGCGGCAGCGGCGGCGGTCACCCTGCCGTCCTCCTCCGACCCCGGCCGCCGCACCCCGCCACACAGCGCTCGCTCGCCACTGCGCCCGGCGGCCCGCGGAGCCGGACTGCCGCGGCGGCGGCGGCGGCGGCGGCGGCCGGTGCCGTAGTACAACGCGGCGCTCTCACCGCTCCGCGGCGGCAGCGGCGGCAGCGGCAAGCCACGGCCGCAGCAGCGGCAGCGGCGGCAGCGGCGGCGCCCGGTGGCAGACGCTGCGGTGGTCGCGGTCGGCGACGAGAGAAACCGGCTGGTGTAGGAAACCCCCGCCCGGCAACACACCGCCATGAGAGGGACGAGAGACAAAGGAACGCCCGCAGCGTAGAAAAACCGCCGACACCGGCGCCGCCTGCGACAAAGGAAAGCGCATAGCAGGCGACACAGGCTGAGGCAAAGCGCTGAACCGCCGGACGTCGAAGCGTCACGCGCGGTAGCCCCAGCGGCCGGCGCCGGGGGGGGGGGGGGAGGCGTCAGGGTCAGGGCCGCTCACCGCCGGCCGGCCCCGCCCCGCCCCGGCAGAGAGCGGGGGAGCGGCCGCCGGGGCAGGCCGGAAGCCGCTCACATCCGGTGACGAGAATGAGCGCGGAGCGGACCGCCGCCCGCGCCGAGGCAGAGGAGAGAACCACCGGTCGGCCGGAACAGGAGGCCGGCAGAGCGGCAGGGCAGCGGGCAGAGCGGGCATGCAAGGAGCCGGCCCGGGACCGGGTCGGAGGGACGCAATAGAAACAGATGGAAAAAAGACAAAGCGGTAGCGAGAGATGAATCATCGGGACGATCTACAAACACGGAGCAGTCTCAAGGAAGAGAAAATAAGGGACCCGCAGTAGAACAGCAGCACAAAGCCACCGAGTCACGCCACCGCCAACGGGCTGCAGACAGCTGAGGAGACACAGACACGGTCACGGTCATGACCGCCGCCGTCTGGTCATGCCGGCCGCACCGTGCCATCTGGAGCGAGCGGCCATGCACCAGCGCCGGTGACCGCATTCCAGGCCGCACGGCCACCTCTGACGGCGCCGGCGCCGCCGCCTCGTCAAGCCGCGACGGCGGCGCCGACGCCGTGTCCGACACCCGCGCAGAGGTCGCGGCGCTCCGGAAGTTGGGGCGCGACGAGCGTCCGTGTTGGCTCCAGCGCGGCTCCAATGTCAGCGGTGACTCGGGGGAGCTGGCGGCACCCGGACTGCCGACGGCGTACCCCCGGACAGCGCCACCGGGGCTGCCGACGGCGCACCCTCGGACAGCGCCACCGGGACTGCCGACGGCGTACCCTCGGACAGGCCACGGGGGAGCTGGCGCCACCCGCACCGTCATCGGCGTACCCCGGACAGCGCCACCGGGGCTGCCGACGGTGTACCCTCGACAGGGCTACGGGAGAGCTGGGACCACCCGCACTGCCGACGGCGTACACTCGGACAGAGCCAGGGGAGCTGTGCACCGCCCGCTCGCCGACGGTGTACCCCCGGACAGAGCCAGGTCGTACCAATCCCGGGCGGCCCGTGTGCACCGCCGCCCCCTCCACCCGCCAGCTGACTGAAGACAACTCCGGCTGCCTACTCCAGACGGCTCGCTGCTCCCTGATAATCCTCAGCCTCGGTCGCCGCGGGCACCGAGGGCGCCTCTAAGCCACGGCCGGCCGCTGAAGCCGGACCGGCGCGCCAGCCGTCGAGCCCGGAGGGTCAGGGAGGGGGGGCTGTAGCACACCCGGGCATCGATCGGCGACAGGTGCGGGCCGCGCCGTGCCGCGACCCGCCGGTCCGGGACCTCCGGTCCCGCTCCACGCTCCAGACGCCGCTCTGCTATCCCTCCCTAGCGGCGGGGCGGCCGACCGTGCCCCCCCCCCCTCCCCCCGGAGCCGCCCCAGCACCGCCGCCGCCGCGCCGCCGCCGGACCGGCAGCGGGCGCCGTGGATGTCGTGACGGTGTGCAGTGCCGGTCAGAAGACTCCGATTGGCATGGCGGCGTGAAACCGAGAGTACGTGCTGGGCAGCCTGGAAGCGATAACCTTGAGCCCGACACGGGCGTAACGCGAGCTGCCAGCTCAGCCGACAGCTCCGCACCGCGACAGCGCACAGGGCTGGGTCGGTACGCGGCCCAGGTGCCGTCTGGCCAGAACGAACCCTCGACCAAGTGCCGGGTCTGTCTCTTCCACCTCTCCGTACGTCCTTCATGACACTGGACGGACACCCGACACTAGACCGCTGCCGTGGCCCTTACATACGCATCCAAGG